GGTTTGACACTATTCTATGTGTTCGGGCAGCTTAAGGGTTGATGCACATATCAATATATGTGAAAAAAATCGGAACCGTTTCAGCTCAAGCCGTTCGATATTATTTATATGCGATTCCCTATAACTATGTATGGTTTTTATTATTTATATGGTTTCAACATTTTGTTATTGGTATCGTCGTCCGTCTTTCTGAAATTTATCCCTCACGATTTTTATCACACCGTCACAAACGTCAGCTGTTTAGTGGCGTATTTTGTACTTATACTGATGTATATTTTCAACTTTGTTCCAACCGAGTCTTCCATGACACTGACGTTTGTTTTTTTCTCTCAGAGTGTCATTCGACAATCATTCCACCGATACTATGTTTTAGATAATTTTTTACCGCCTGCATTACACTGCGAGAGAAGAGGGCTAATGAAGCTGCCTATGTATAGCGCGTTTCAGGACACGCATAGCCGACTATGCGTGTCCTGAAATCCTAGAACCCACTATCCGTATGAAGTTTTACAAAATTCGCTCAACTCGCAACGATGAAGTTAATACGAGTGCTTCCACTGATAAAGAGTAAGTAGAGCGGAATTTTCATAGATAAAAGTAAAAAAATATTTACTCATATCAGCCCCTAGCGATTTTCTGCTCATTCACCGTTTTTAGTGGGAGGCGAGCTTAGTTTTACCCACAGCACGACACGTTTTCGCGACAGAAAATTAATCAAAGCTATATAAGCTTATATACAGGGTGGAAATTTTGAATGCCACCCCCAGGGGAAGTACTCTAAATACTGGAGATAGATAATTTTACTCAAAGGAAACATTCCTGTAATTTTAAAAAGAAACACAACTGCATTCACAGTTTTTCGAAAATTTGCTCGCCACACCCGGGAATCGAACTGGCTAAAATTAGAAAAAATTACACCTGTATTTTTATGGCATCGATCGATAGGGTCAATCATAGAGATCATATCTTACTAAAAAACTTAGTACATTTAATTAAAGAAAAAGCATGAAATCTTAACTTATTTTATTTGAACAAAAAAAATATCATTCTAATTAATTAGTTGCTCGAAATGATCTCCATTTTGTTGGATACACAAATTTATTCTTTTAAGGAATTCATTTCTATTAATTTTTAATAGCGTGTTGTGATGAATATTAAAAATCACATTGTGAATCTCAGCTCTTAACTTACAGTTGCATATTTTTTACTTATCCCCACAAAAAAATCTAAAGGCGTGAGATCTGGTGATCTCGCAGGCCATCTAATTGTGCCGTTTGTACCAATCCAGGTATTGAAATGATTATTAACATAGGCAGCGGTGATTCTGCTGTTATGGGCCGGAGAACCATCTTGTTGTAGAATTATACGATGTCTCTGTTCCTCAGGTAAATTATTTAACACATTTCTTAAGAGTTCCAGTATTTCAAGATACTTGACAGTGTTTAAATGACCATCGTACACGTGGACTAACACAACCATGTTTCTCATAATTCCGCACCAAACGTTGAAAGAGAATCTTACTTGACTGTTAGTTTCATGTACACGAAAAGGATTCACTCGAGACCAATAGTGGTTATTGCGGGGCGGTTGTACGTGCTGTTATTACTGAAGTGGGTTTCGTCAGACCATACAATATTACTCAAAAAATCCGGGTTACGAGCAACTTCTGCCAGCATGTTTTGACAAAATAGTAGTCGCCTTTCACGATCCCCAGGATGCAATTTTTGAACCAACCGACCATCACGAAAACATTTTTACTTATACTTTTTACGCGAGTGTGGTTGGTTCCAATTTTTTCGGCAGCTTCTCTGCTTGAAGCCTTTGGATATGCTTCGAAGTATGTTAAAACACCTAAATCAAAATCGGAATAGACCTACTGAGGATGTTGCTGTTGATGTCGCCTTTTCTAACTTCCATTATTTTTTAAATTATCTACCATTCTCTTTAAAACGAGTCGAGTTGGTACTTGTTGATTCGGATATGTCTCTCCATACCACCGCAGAGCTAAATTCACATCTATGTGATTTAAAAAATATGCTTCAATTAAATCAAATTGTTCTTGATAAGCCATTATTTATTATGGTAAATTTTGATGCAGCAAACAAGACTTAAGACAATGCGTTCTAATTAGCTATTCCATTTTCAAAAATATGAAAATGGAATAGTTAATTTGGACCCCCCCCCCCCCCACTGACACTGGTACCTTACTGGACTGTTTAGTCTGCATTTTAGACATGTGCAAAAAATTCTTTATTCGTTATTTGAATGAATAAATGACGTCGAAGATAATAAAAATACTAACTCGTGTAATCTGGTGGGATAAAACTGCTTTTAGTCTTGTTCCATGATTGACCCTATCGATCGATGCCATAAAAATACAGGTGTAATTTTTTCGAATTTTCTCTAGTTCGATTCCCGGGTGTGGCAAACAAATTTTCGAAAAACTGTGAATGCAGTTGTGTTTCTTTTTAAAAATAAAGGAATGTTTGGAGGAATTGAATAAAATTATCTATCTCCAGTATTTAGAGTAGTTCCCCTGGGGGTGGCATTCAAAATTACCCCCCTGTATATGCTGTGTTTTCGCCGTGGACAAGACTGATTAACATTGATGAGGATAATTTAAACATCTATAACATAAAGAGGCAGTTCTGTATGTTGTAAAAACTTTATATCAACTATAATAGGTGTTAATATTCAATTATCGTGTGCAGGATGATTCTGTAAAATCAAATCTCACTTCCGGGTTCGATTGCTCCTATTTTCGATATACCAATGTTAATTAAGCATAGGTAACGTCATTATACAGCAAAAATCGCAATGACTGTTAAAGCAACCAGTAATGGATATTTTATATTTGTCAAAAAAATGAATTTGAGAAATCAAAACAGACATTGCATTTTACTGAGTACTTAAGCTGTTAAGGTGAGAAACTCGACCTTTCGGTTTTGGAAAGTAGAAATAATGTTTCCCATTCTATTAGTTATGATTGCTTTAGTTCAATACCTACTTTTAATAAACGTAAACATGGGATCGTGATTGATAATTCGGTATATTAAATAGTAGTAAGTACCTCATATATTGTGAGTACGTAATTAAAAATTAAAGGTTGCGTTTTCAGTATCAAAGCTCTTTTACCGAAAGCTCACGTAAAAACTATTTTACAAAAAAAACAACGTGTTGCTCTCCGGGAGTGCCGGCAGAAGTGAAAACTTGAATATTAACGTTGTTCATTTTTGATATTTTGGAATGGTTAGGGAATAATTTTGAACGAATTGCTTTCATTATCAGTATAAAAGTACTATCATTTATGTGGTAGAATACAATATTTTTTTATTGCGCTATCGTACACAAACATGTCAATTTATATTACATACATTAAAAAGTTTATCTCTCAGAAAAATCAACTTACATGAATCACATTTAAGCGCACCTAGCGACATCTATTGTAAAAAAATGCATTTTCTTCGCAATAAAGCTGCCACCTGGACGTCCTAGATAGTCTTATTATTATAATATGATAAAATTAAATATTACTATGTTACGTCCAATATATTGAGAGTCAACAACCTTTCCAATTTTATTGTTTTCGTCTTACGAATTTTCGATTAGGTCCTGAAGAGAGTTTAACATTTTTTACCCATACAAAAAAAAGTGCACATCGCCGCTAAAGAAGTTTTCACTTCAAAAATAAGGTATGCAATCACAATATAATCTCGAATGCAAGTGCAAACTTTCGCAAAGCTTTCAAATTATCGTTGTATAAGTACATAGTTAAGTGGAGCTAGTGAGAAGGTTGTGTTGTGGGCACATCGGAACAACACGGCTTACCGGCTAATGGCGGCTTGCGGCCGCATTAATCACATTACGCCGCCGCCACCACACCCAGATTTTCACTTCGGCTCATTTGCGCTAATTGTGCGCGCGATTGTCACTCAGGCTTGAATAAACAACGGAGAGCACAAGGATTAGGTGATTAGCGCTTAATTGCGTTACCACGATTATTTCATATTTGCCCGTCGCGTCCGGCTGCAGTCTGATTTCGTATTCGGACAGATTTGTATGCACGAGTTTTGTTTGACATTACTTAATGCAATGCCTCACTTTCAGTTAGGCAGGCTTTCTATTTTTGGAGTTTACTCCTTAAGAATCGATTTGCATATAAAAGGGGCCCGGTATGAGAAAAATGTGAGGAGTAAAATCTATCGATGAATGACCTCGGTTCGTTTTTGGTGCACATCCTATGTCGCGCAACTTTGACAAACAAAGATGACGGATCGACATTAATAAAATTTTTAAAATCTGAACTGAATTTAGATATTGTTTCTGATAGAGCAATGGGGACAACGAGGTATGGTACAACCATTGATGCGGTATTTTCAAGATTCGTGAACCACGTATCTACGAACGTCCATGTGTCTTATTTTAGTTACCATAAACCACTTGTCACTGTAATTAATAATGCAGACAATGTTGATTTAATTAATATTTAAAAAAATGATAATAGTCTGATAATAATTATTACATAATTTATCAACATTCCTAATGATATATTTATGCACATCTAATATTGACTATTGTAAAAAGTTTAAAGTAAATAATTTCATCGGTAAGTTATAATAAATGTATATGAAATGAATAAATATATATGTATATTATTGTCATTAATTTGTTAATTTACCCTTTCATACAGTATCAATCTTTTTTAAGTTAAATAAACACTTTTTGCGCCTGGTTAGACTATCGAACTTAAGGAGTAAACTCCAGTCGTGCGTCGGAGCTGACACACACAATTTTTTTTAATAAATAAAAAATATTGCTGTTTTTTTTTTCAATGAACTAAATGGATTTGACTTTGGTTTTTTTAAGCTCATTGTTAAGTTATTTTGGGAAAAGTTCAAAAATATATTGGGTTTAGGATCCTCTATGAGATATTGATATGCTCACATTTGATTGGTACCTACACGGTCAATAAATATAACGTTTCGTTTTTTATTTCGCAGCAAACAAACTGTGTGATGACTTGAACGGCGTCGGGGGCGGCGCGGGCATGCCTCCAGTGAGCGGCGCCGGAGGGGGCAAGTGGTCCGGGGGCTGCGGGCTGCTGCGCCAGCCGTCCGGGTTCCCGCTGCTCGGGGTCGCGCCGCCCAACTACCTGCTCTCCGACCATCTCGGCACCCTCGCCAAAACGAATAACCATCTTTTCTAATGGGCGTAGAATAAACGTCGCCTCGCCGCCACCGCGTGCCTAGAGATCGATGTGTCATCACTAGACGCTGATTCCCGGCCTCGCATTCCATGCGACATTCCATGCGACGGACGCCTGCCTGTGAAGTGAACTCACATCTCGAGTTTCCGAAAACAATAAGTGACTGAAACATAGTGAAAGAAATACTCCAAGTGCCAAAACGTGTCCACTAATGTATTGTCGCAATAATGAACTTTGTAAGCGGATTTTTAGATAAATATTTAATTTTAATCGTAACGATGTGGTTTTACGTACGAATCCATGTACGAGGGTGTATAGTTTTTAGAAGGATTATTGGTTAAGTGTAAATTTAAGTACTGTTATAAAGCATAGAGAAAAAGTTACGATTTGTGTGATATTTAACGTATGTAAATAACATTCCAACCGTCGTATACGTTTATCAAGTATACTTATTAAACTATAGGAAAAGGTAATCATTGTATTCGGCAGTTTTTTCTTTTGAAATTGAATATTTTTGTGTGAAAATATTTATTTAGACTAATTTACTTCCATGTTTAAAACATAATAATCTAGTCAAAATAAAAATATTATTATCAAATGACTTTATGTATATCACGAATATTTCTAGTATTCTTTTCTAAAGAGAGATATTTTAAACGTTACTTTAGTGATTCTGGGAATTAGTGTGGATAAATTATGTAAATATGTAATAAAATACTGTATATAAATGCATAGTGGCTGTACCCGAGTGTATGTAATTAAACTGACGAATTCGTCGAGGGTGTTTTAATAAAAAGAATAATAAATGGTCCTGGTTTGTTTTATTTATTGCCTGTTAATTATTTTGCATAAAAACATTTTTTTTAACAGTAAATTTTCCTACTAAATCCAAACGTCAAGAACTTTTAATGTTGTTTATATTTTGTTTAAATTTTGTCTTGTTCTAACACAATATCTTCAGGAAATATACATTATGTTTGTTTCTATGTAGCTGTAGCCATAGAAATAGTTTTATTGCAATTTATTGCTTATTATCATATCATTATGCTGCAAGAAATATAAGAACAAATATAGGTGCAACCTTTTTGCATAATAGGAATTAGACATTTATGATGATGATGATACTATAAAAACTTACTCTATTACCACAAAATGTTAGTCATGCAGTTAACACGAGTGTAAGAAAAATATTATAAATTTGCATGTTTAAGCAAAATGATATTTTTCTTTTAGGTTTAAACAGAGGCTAACTTTTTGTGGTACAACACTTAGGCCCACTTGTACCAAGTTCTTAATTCACATTTAAAAGCTTATATCATGTTTAAGCCTCATTCTATCTTTTTTTGACATTAAACAAGTGTCAAAGATGGAATGATGCAATTTGAATTAAAAACTTTGGTACAAGTGGGCCTTAGACATTGTTTATAATATTTATGCAAAATTTGATAGTAAATTTCTTCTTAAACTCCCAAAGTTGTATTTGTGGCAAGACTGTATTTTTCCTGCCTGCATAAGATGGAGTACCTTTTTACAAAATGAAATATAAGTTCATAAATTTTAATAAAGACAATAAAACTGACTTTAGTTCTTTTGACACGGAAACGTAAATTATTGTGAATCGGTTAATGTTCATGATTATTTTTCAAATATCTTATAACTAGAGACGAGCTAGAAATGAACTATTAGAGTTACATTTATTTGACAAACCACAGATTGCTTTGATGTCAACACGTCCTCAAACGTGCCAAGTATTCAAATAATATTATTTTTTATATATAACTAGTGATCCGCCCGGCTTCACACGGCTTTAGTACCTGCCTATACTTATGAGTGCCTGATGACCAATCTGACCCTTCCAAATACAGGCCTATAGCGATCATATCTGTACTCTCTGGGATGATGGAGCCGGAGATCACAGCCGCCTTTTGAGATACCTTGAGGAGCATCAGCTAATTAGCGACAGTACGGTTTCTGCCTCGTCGTTTCAGACCGCGATTCAGTTTATTGATGATCCCAAACTAGCGGAAAATTTGATGCCTTTGAAACTGCTCAGGGACTTTGGTTGCCTATGAGTATTCTACAGGCTCTTTCATAGTGAGTGCTCCAAGGAATTGTTCCAGTTAATACTGGTGCTATGGAATATGGAATATAAAATGGTGCTATGGAGCACCATTTTACCACCGCATCACCCGTCGCCGAGTCGAGTTCACCTATATTACCTGGAAACACATAAGTGAAGAAGTCCACAACTGTTAGTTTCCAGAGATCTTTTATTCCACGGACAATAAAATTATGAAATATGGTCCGCTTCAGGAGAGACCTTAATAGAGTGTTCCACAAAAGGCAGCGGCATGACTGTGTACTGACATGTGCAACTGTGGCCACTTAACATCAGGTGGCCCGTCCGCTCGTCTACCTTAGAACGCAATAAAAAATATTATAATATATTATATTTAATATAAAACGAAATCCTGATTTACTAATTTTCTGGTGGTTTCTAGTGGATAAAAAAAATCATACAAATTTGTCGAAAACAAACAAACGAAAACAGAGGGGGGGGGGGGGGGAACAGCCCTTGCTGTGTATGTTTATGATCATGTTATGTTGTAGTGAATGTGATGATTAATTTCAAGGACAATACAACATATATATACATTCAGAAAAGGTGTAATTACTGTAGTGAGATCAGCATATAAACTACGCTGTTGATAAAAATAATCTTGTAGGTTTTCAACATTCGTGTTCAAGGGAAGTTGACGGCCCAAGTTCATATAAAAACATTTTAATAAGCTTAATGTTTCATAAGATAAACTCTATATTACATACAGTTTGATACATTTTGCTTAAGGCAAGCTTGCTTAGATCGAATTTGAATGATTTAGTAAAAAAAAAACTTTTCCGCTTTTTGTAATGATGAAAGAAAAGCAGATTAGTGGAAAAAGTTCACTGATTCTTTTGTCATGAATCACGAAACGATGAGTGTTTGCATTGAACCAAAATATTCAAGGCGAAGAATCAAGGTAGGTGGTATTTATATTATTTTCGTGCGACTGTTTGCTTAGACCTAGCGTGGGCATCGCCGACAATGATAACTCACCGGGTACTCAATGATATCTCAGGGTTGCCAATCCCTAAACGACTTTGAAGAGGTATTTGTAGCAGCAAAATATCAGTATGATGAGAGGAATTGGTTTGGTTTGGAGGGTGTGATTGAAGAATAAGTGACAAAGAATTGACTGACAATCTTTCATAGTACTTAGTTAGGTACTGCAGGATTAAAGAAGTAAACTAAATGCTAATGAGTTTTTAAACTATAATTACTTTAGAATATATGCTATAGGGTAAGAAAACTCTTAAGTTAAGGATAACAGTGCCAGTGCGCTGCGGTCCATTCTTCTTTATTGCCCATGACAGAAGAACTATGCCCTAGCACTGGGGCCATTAAGCAGTTACATGCTTTAAAAAATAAAAATTATAACTATAATTGCTATTTCTTCTTTCAAATGTTTAATACTGGTAAAAGTATTCATTTGACATTGTGGGTTACCTACAATGCGAAGAGATGGCGCTGCCTTGCAGCTTAAGAATAGCTAGAGGAATTTCGACGCGGTCCGTGAGGGCCGCGGTAGCATAATTGGTCAGTGCATTCGCCCGGATTGCGAAGGGTGCGGGTTCGAGTCCCGTCTGCTGCCTGGTCCGCGTGGATTTTTTTCTAGTTATATTTTCTTTAGATTTAAACATCAAGCAGTTACATGCTTTAAAAAATAAAAATTATAACTAAAAAAAATGTTTTCACTTTCGTTTAAAAGAAAAACGTCCGCAACAAGCAACAGGGTAATAATATGTCTACCTTTTAAGATTGACCTTTTTCCTTTAAATAATGCTGGTGAAACCGCAGGACACAGCTAGTGATTTATAAAAGTATATTAATAAATCACCAGATTAACTGAAAATGTCAAATGATGTTAGTATAAATTATAATTTAAGTGTTTTTGGGTAGTGATAAAACACTGCTTAATGAAGTTCTTGAACGTGTAAAAATTTGCGTATATGTTTTGTAATTTCAGTATCATTGAATTTATTATGTTTATTTTAAGCATTTACCTGCTAAATTTATATACCTAAAGGAAATTTTGCTAGAAAAAAATCCACGCGGGCCACGGACGAAATATTATTATAATGTTAAATGATGAAAAATGAAAGCCCTGCCTGCGGCTGCAAGTGACACAACGCGGTGGGCGGGCGGCGACGCAGACGCAGTGGCTCGCGTCATTTTGAAGCGCCCGCCTTCAGATAGTCTAACGCCATATAAGGAAAATTCCTATCATAATCTGAATGAAAAATTGTAAATAATGGTAAAAACTAAATGTAAAAATTGAATATTTTTTATTAAAACTATATTTTATAGTAAATGGATGGATGGATAGATGGAGATGCTAAATCAGAAGCTGGAATAATGATAAAAGCTTTTCCATTTCTATTGCCATTATTTAAGCAATGGGTTAAAAATTTATTACTTACTTCAAAAATTTTGAACAAAAAACTTTGCTAACACTGATAAAATTAATTTAAAGATAGTGAAAAAGAACTATGTAAATGAAAGCATGCACGTTACATATATATAATATGTTATTTTGAAAACGTAAGCAGTCTACACGATTAATAGAGGTATAGTTAGTATTATTTAGTTCTTTAACAAATAGTTACATTATTATTAAATTTCATTACACAATATAAAAAAATTATCAATATTAGTTTATTATGGAAGTATATTATCTATCTCTTTGCGATGCAATGCATATAATGGTGTGAAGATCTATGAATACAACGTGTATCAGAAATATTGGCTGGAATTGGTTTTAAATCGATTTCAATAAAAAAAGTAACCAAAAAAAAACAAAAAAAAAATAACTTTAATTTAATTATTCTAAGCAAAGGAATATGACACAGAATTAGAGGATCCGGGATTTCAGGCTCCGGGATTCAGGGATCCCGGTCATATTCTAGTCCCGAAAATTTCGGGATTAAATGAAATGAATCCCGGGATTTTCGGGATGGATATATTTTTTACATAAGTCAATAAAAATGTGCGTGAAACGAAACGCGCTTTCTTTCATTTTCACGTTTTGACGGTCATCTTGTTTACCCAGCTGACTTCATTTATTTTTGCTAACGACTGATACCGGATTATGTGTAAAAGTGAGTAAATATAGATGACAAACAACGAGTGTTATTTTCTGTAGCTCTAAGAGGTAATTTTATGTTGTGCATAGACTTAAATGTTCTTTTCATTTAGGTTTAAGAAGTAAACAATGTCATTATTCAAAGAAACTACCAACTATCAATCAACCAAAGGTCTGCATACTCATCTATCTTCAAAACATTCCGTGAAAGTAGATTCTGCTAAGGCATCTTCCTCAAAGGACCAAAATAATGAAGGACCACCTATAGTCTTTTTTATAGTATATCTAAACAAGTCTTTAGGTGCTTTTTTTAAGTTTGTTGTAAAATAAAATAAACAAACTAGGCTATTTCATAAATTATTTACAGAAGTGCCTAGTTTGTTTATTTTATCAGGAGAAAGTACAATTTTGTTTTGTTTTTTAAAGATTTAACTAAAGATTTAAAATAAAAATTTGATTTTCACACTGACACTTTCTATTACCAATACAGTCCCAGAACTATCCCGGGATCCCGGGATTAACTGTAGATAATCCCGAAATCCCGGGATTAGAAACATCGTTTGGGATTGAATCCTCTACACAGAATATATGGTTATAGGAGCTATTTTAAAAGCAACAGTACGTGAAATAATTTTACTGACATTGAGATATCACTGGTTAAACTGAGTAAATAAGAATAAAAATTACCTACTGAAATTGATTCATTCGCATACTAGTAACAAACTACTTTCACTGTGTGCGTTATATCAGACTAGTGGCCGCCCGCGACTTCGTCCGCGTTAACTTTAGTTTTTCCTAAACCCAAAGGAACCTGTCATTTTTCCGGGATAAAAAGTATCCTATGTCTTAATCCAGGTCATAAACTATACGAATACCAAATTGCAGCCATTTCAGTAGTTTTTCTTTGATTGAGTAACAAACATACAAACTTACACATTTATAATACATACTTATCCTACTTTCGTACTAATGTACGAAAGTAGGATAAGTAGTAGTAGTAGGATACACGTTGTATTGACGACCTCCGTGGTCGAGTGGTTCGTACGCCGGGTTTCATGGTGTCGCCGACTCGAGAGGTCCCGGGTTCGAATCCCGGTGGGGGCAGATGTTTGTGTGATGAATACGAGCATTTGTACTCCAGTCATGGATGTTTAATATGTATTTCTATATAAATATACTTATATATGTACAGTATATGTATTCTATCCGTTACCCTAGCATCCCATAACACAAGCCTTACAGTGCTTACTTTGGGGCTAGGCTAATTGGTGTGAGTGTTGGAAATATTTATTTATTTATTGTTTATTTATTTGTATTGATACTACTCTATCTCAATTATATATTATCCTTTTCATTAGTTTTCTCTTCTGTGTTTATTTGAGTACATAACTACTTTAAAATAGGCATATGATATATTGTTCTTTAGATTAATGTACTAGAATAAGATAAGATTTATTGTCTCCTAAATTTTTATGAGTATGCAGTGCTAAAATATCTAATTTTATTGTTTTGTTTGTGAGGTCATTACACTCTGATTATAAAAATATCACTAGTAAACTCTTAAGGTGTTCACGAAACTTCAGTAATAATAAAATATTTTAATTGCGTAATTGAAATTAGACAAAAAACATGTTTTTTAACAATTTCGAGGGTAGGTGGGGTACTTATGATGTGATTACTTAATGGTTAATGATCAAATTTATATTAGTTTTTATATACCGAAGCACACAAAGAATAAAGTAAAATTTAGAATTCTTCAATCAAAATACAGTACTCTATTAACAACATAGATAGTTAAGTCAGCACCCTTAAAAGTAGCTTTTTACTCTTAAAATTTGGTAAAAAAACGCTTAAAACATTTCAATAATAAAATTTAACCGATCGAAAATTTACTTAGATCGTTTGAATGTGCAGCAGTTAATAAAACCTGATTTAAGGCTGTTGAGTCAGATGCTTATTCTGTAGATGTGACGGCGCGGGCGCAATGCGCGAGTTTTCCAGAAGGGCGGAACTTGCGTGCTATAAATACGCGAGCACCGCTTTCAGGAGTTCAGTCTAGGAGAGCTTTCAGTCGCACACCTCGCCTCAGCAGCAGACAAACAACACACCACGCAACATGTCTCTGGAACGCCAAGTTCGTGCTAAGGTAATTATTACAACATTAATATTAGTATTTTGCGATAAATCACATTTTCTTTTAAGTATTATTTTAAAATTTAATTAAAAAGTATTATTTTACTACCTTTCTTATAACTTTAAATTATTTTGCAAATATCTGAAATGACTTTAGAAGATTCGATAGTCATCAAGTCGATTATTATTATTGTCTATGAGAAATTTTATTCGTTTAGTTAAAAGTTCAGTGAATCATATTTTAAATCTAAAAAATAAATCTGATTCTTTAATCTTTAAAAATATCCTCAAAGAAAAACAATCAAAGATAGATTCACAAGTTTCCTGTGACTCGAGTTTAACAAGAAAATCTTCCATAGCTCGCTTCCAAGCGCAACCCTGAACAGGAGAAGGAGTGCCAGGGATGGATCGAAACGGTCCTTGGTGCCAAATTCCCTCCCAGCGAAGCTTTTGAGGACGTCCTCAAGGACGGCACTGTGCTCTGTCAGCTCATCAACAAACTGAAGCCTGGCTCAGTTAACAAGATCAACACATCTGGTGGACAGTTCAAGATGATGGAGAACATCACAAAGTAAGTGAATGTTTTTATCTCCATTCTAAAATCAATTTTAACTATTTATTTGAAAGCTGTTCAAATCCTAATGGGAAAAAATAACATAAAATTAAGACGCATAATAAAACTATTGAGGATAGTTCTTTGCAAATTCTACTATAGTAAAACCATTTTTTTTATTGTTTTATTATATTCTTAATGAGAAAATAAAAAAAGCGTTTTAGAGATTAATGTGGTAAAATGAAAACCATTCTTACAGCTTCCAGGCCGCCATCAAAGCCTATGGTGTCCCTGACATAGATGTTTTCCAGACCGTCGACCTTTGGGAGAAGAAGGACATCGCCCAGGTTGTCAGCACACTTTTCGCTCTCGGCCGTGAGGTTGGTATCAATATAACTCTTACAATATAAGTAAATAACCTCCACCCTTCCCTTCCTTTACGCAATCTCTATATTTGTAATTCGACCTAAAAGTTTGTTCTTTAACATTCCTCGACTATGAACATAACGCACCATTACGATTCCATATTTGTTTATCTTTAAACTCTAAGAATAGTTTCTCGCATCTCAAAAGATCGCGTTCACACAACATATACTTCTTTATAAATTTCGTATTTGAGGAGCTGGAAAGTGGCCAAGTTCAACAGAGATTTACGAGCGTGTGTTACATTACCTCGATTTTCATAAATATCCAAGGCCACGTAGTTATGTAGAGGCTGAGTAAGGGTTATTTAAGAGTCATGACACTGAACGTGTTTTGCCACGCGCAGTAATCGATGTTCGTGTTTGTCGACAGACCTACAGGCACCCCGAATGGAGCGGCCCATACCTGGGACCCAAGCCCTCTGAAGAATGCAAGCGTGACTTCTCCGAGGAGGTCCTTAACGCTGGCCAGACAGTGATCGGCCTCCAGGCTGGTTCCAACAAGGGAGCCACTCAGGCTGGGTCTAACATGGGCGCTGGCCGCAAGATCCTGCTCGGCAAGTGAGCACTTCACCTCAAATCCGCCCCAAGTGATATTATTTATAAGATTTGTGTACAAAACTGAGTGCACACGGACACTGTTGTGAGACTTTAAAACTTTTGGGAGATGTAGCAAGGGTGGTAGTGCCCATTCTCATGTTACAAAGGAGATCACATGTATCTACGTTAGTGTGTAGCTGTAACTGTTTGTCTGCAACCCACTGTTCCATGTAGCAAGATGATTTTGTACATAAGTTTAGGATAAGGTATAATAATATATTTATTTCCATTTTATAGTTTCATTCTTTAAATAAATTCATATTTTTATAATATTACGCTTACTACTTTATTAGTGCCAACTAATGATTTATTCTTTACCAACAAAATAAGATAAATATTCAATATCTATACATACAATTAGCTAATTTGATTCCTGACCCACCATAAGCTTATTGTATTACAACCATTTCAAAACAATAAGGTTGATTTTTGCTTAAACGTACGTATCCCTGGTAACAATACAGTAACATAATTTTGGCATTGAATAAAAGTTTGCCTATGTTCTAAGGATTTCCCTATTAGTTTACCAACGTTTTATAATGACAAGAAATCGTAAGGGTTACTGTTACATTTACGATTTAAAAAATTTAGTTCTAAATTCAAACTACTGTTCCAATTTTATCTAAATGATATATTGCATTAAAAATAATGTTCAATTTTAAAATATCTTTGACGATAACACAGTTTGCTTGTTATTGATCCTAAATGCAATTACGCATTACATTGTCTACTGCTACAAGGAAAACTTGTCTTTTTTGACATTTTTAAGATTATTTTCTTATATACAAATTTGTCTACTTTGTCTATGCTATTACAGTCATGGAGTTTATATTCATAACACACCGTCTTAAACACAAATGACTACATAAAAATAAACACAAAACGTTAGGAAAACAATAGCCTAGGATACCTAACCTACATAACATACCAGTACACTAACTTACTAACTAAACCCTATACTACATAGTCAGGTCATAAGTATTGTCACACAGTAAAAATTTTTCTTTTAGAATGCTGGCCACAAAAAAGTTTATTGAATTTGAGTTTCGAATTATTCATGAATATAAAAATAGATACTTTTTAGAATTTTACTCATTTTTAAATATGGAGTGGACGGTTAAAGAAGACCGTGTTGCAGTTATTGCGTTGCATCGTTGCGGTTACGCGCCAAAAAAATTTGAATATAACCAAAAGATTCATTTATCGTACGTACGTTTGTACGTACGATACATCGTATCGTACGTACAAACGATACAATGAAGATTCTAGTGTAGATGACAGGTCAAGAAGTGGTCGCCCTCGGTCTGTTAGAACTCCAGCAGTGATAAAAGCTGTGAAGGCGCGAATTCAAAGAAATCCCAAACGTAAGCAGAAACTGTTGGCCCTTCAGATGGGGTTAAGCAGAACCACGGTGAAAAGGGTGTTAAATGAAGACTTAGGGCTTCGGGCATATCGAAGAAAAACAGGACATCTGAATGCTCGTCTAATGGACCTGAGACTGAAGACATGCTGCGCTTTGTTGACGCGGGAAAAAAATATCGGAAAATTATTTTTTCGGGTGAAAAAAATTTTACCGTAGAAGAGAGCTACAACAAACAAAATGATAAGGTGTACGCAAAAAGTAGTGAAGAAGCGAGCAACTGTATTCCGCGTGTCCAACGAGGTCATTTTCCATCCTCGCTCATAGTATGGTTGGGAGTTTCTTATTGGGGCTTAACAGAGGTAAATTTTTGTGCGAAAGGTGTAAAAACGAATGCAGTTGTGTATCAAAATACAGTCCTAACGAACCTTGTCGAACCTGTTTCTCATACCATGTTCAATAACAGGCACTGGGTATTCCAACAAGATTCGACGCCAGCTCATAGAGCGAAGAGCACACAAGACTGATTGGCGGCGCGTGAAATCGACTTCATCCGGCAAGAAGACTGGCCCTCCTCCAGTCCAGATTTGAGTCCGATAGATTAAAAGATATGGCAACACTTGGAGAAAAAGGCGTGCTCAAAGTCTCATCCTAATTTGGAGTCACTCAAGACATCCTTGATTAAGGCAGCCGCCGATATTGGCATGGACCTCGTTCATGCTGCGATGGACGACTGGCTGCGCAGTTTGAAGGCCTGTATTCAAAATCACGGAGGTCATTTTGAATAAACTTTATTGTCATAAGAATCTATGTTTTGTTAAGTTCGTTTTGGTATATAAATGGTTACATAATGAATAAATTAGTTTCAATTATTTTATATTAAACATGTGACAGAATTTATGACCTGACTAGGTATTTACACAATGTTTGAACACAGCAGTATTTACAGGCTTAGTTTAAAAAACAGCTAGCATCAGGTCAGAGGGTAAGTACCTGACAACAACAGTGCCTTTCTCAACCAATTCCCTAATAAAGTGATGCCGAATATCTATGTTTCGTTCTAGCATGAAACCAAGCGTTGACACACAGCTTCTGTGCCGACTGGTTGTCGTTATACAACACTATCGGTTCGCTTATATGACAGATGAGACATTCCTTCAAAAAGGAACTGACAAACAACGCCTCCTTACAGGCGTCAGAGAGTGCCATGTACTCCGCTTCAGTACTCGACAAAGCAATAGTTTTCTGTTTACGACTCTCCCACGAAGTCAGAGACTCGCCTATCCTAAACAGGAAACCAATGTATGATCGTCGATCCGAACTCCCTGCCCAATCTGCATCTACGTAACCACTAACCTGTAGACCAGATTTTTGAAAAGTAAGACGGTAATCTACTGTACCCCTTAGATACCGCAAGACTCTTCGCCGCCTTCCAGTGAGCTTCAGAATAACAGCCGTTGAACTGACTCAGGACTCCGACGGTGTTCGCGATGTCAGGCCGACTGCACAGAGCTATATACAAAAGACAGCCAATTAAATGAAGGACAATGGGCAAAACACACCCAACTCCGCCAACAATGTAAATAGTAGGAAGCGATAGATGTATGAAAAACATAAATTGAGATGTAAGCTATCGCATCTTTCAAGTTGGATCAAACTGCACACGGTGTGCAAATTTGATTAAAATCGGTTAAGTTATTTAGGAATTCATCTCGGACAAACAACGTGACACGTAATTTATATATATTAAGATATTTTCCTCGAAGACAGAACTCGAAGGCAGGACTCAAATCTGCATGTTCCGCTGATCGGACGAATGCACTAACTCCTAGCATTTGTGGTAGTTCCTACAATAAAAATAATGTTAATATCAAGTTCCCAATTAGCCCTGATTGCTCTGATTATTTATTTATTATGAATGTATATTATTAACCTCATACTTAATATTAAGACATTTATTTACATTTAATATGTAAACAATAAAGGAGATTGCTCAGCTTCCATACATGTTTGGCCTAAAGACCAATAATCATGAAATATTGTTTCCAAGATTCGAAATTATATATAAATTACTGTAGAAACGAATATTATTGACGGACACTCCTGAGAACTTCTATAAACCATATACACTGAATGATTTTCAGGTTATGTTTGCAAATAGGTACATGGTATTAAAATAATAAAAAACAATTAAGTTATATAGCAAACTAGGGAAATCAAACCAAGTACCAAAATTATGTATTAGATTCAGGTATGTAAAGCATGTAGATTAATAGATAGTAGCCTGTTTTTAAAGTTAATGCATAAGAATAACTTTTAAAATCAGGTATCATCTATGCATTTCCGGTTATAATAAGGTACTCTGTGACAGACAATGTGTGTTATTTGTGAATGAGCCACAGATTAGAGAGAATTTTTAAACTCTCGTTAACTAAAGAAAGCTTATTATTTTTGTTATGTTTATACTATAACCATATTTTAAATTTTTAGTGTATCACACCTTATATTGTGTTTATGGTGGTGTTTGGCGAAAAATGTATGGCAAGAGACTTTATGATGTCGCCTACCATCTATAATATTTGTCTTAGCACATTTGCATGTAGTAAAAATGATAATATAGTTGTGGATATTAATACCACAGTGTAATAAAAAAAATGTTTTATTTTATATATCTTTACAAAATAGATTTGTTTTGATGTTATATAAATAACTTCGAACAGTCCTTGGCTGAATGTTACTACACCCACAGCCATTAAAAATGATTCCTATGGTTTCTAAACCCGTAAAATTAAAAGTCCTTTTTAAAATGAATATATTATACAAAGGTGTCCGTTAAAATCTAATGACTGTAAAATGAAGTATAAATTACGCCAAGAATTACCGTATATGTCAATATTTTTTGTACATTTGGGCCAATTTGAGCAATCTCCTTTATTTATACGTAGCAAGAGTTTTCTATGCTATTCTAGACCAACATCATGTTTCTGAAGTGCAACCATTTAAATTGCTGAGATATCGGGAGTTCACAAAGAGTAAAACACGTGGTAAATATCCCGTTATTATAATATATATTTGATTACGTAATATTAAAAAAGTTTTAGTTTGCGAGATTTAAAAATTAGGGTAATTGTTAATTTACCCGACAACCCTCAAATCACGCACACGCGGTAAGCGGGCGGCCATTTGCATGCTTCACTCACGATTAGACAAGGTTACGTCCGTCTTTTTTTCAGGTCCGTGAACAGCAGGAGCTCTATTTTTGAATCACTCGTCTGACATAGTATCGTCGAATGCGACATAAGTCACCTTCAACTTTCAAGCCGCATAATACTGATTTTACGTATTTTTGAATCATTCGTCACCAGTGTTACCTGTTTAATACGAAATATGAAATTTTACTCAATTCACGCAGAAAAAATAAAAACCGGTAATTACCGCAATGAAAACCGAACAAATATTCTCGTTATCGTTTCATGTAAAGCATGACAATAATAGATCATCGTCGTCTATAGCACAAAAAAATTGACAATTATTCTATCATTCGCCTCCACCATTCGCCATGCAGCGAGTGGTCTCACCCATTCGTTGCACTCGAGCGATTCAAA